CGAAGTTGCATAGACGCTCCCGGGAATTTAATCAGGCGGACGGGTGTTTTAAATAGCTGGCAACAATAGCAGCTGCCTCCTGGCGTTTGGCATCAGTCCCTCCCCCCCCCAGCTCCACCACCACGCGCCCCCCCCCCCCACCAGCCGTGGTTGTGTCACACACAAGCCCGCCTGTCAGTCAGCACCGCCAGCTATCTTCATCATCAGTGCGTTTTTATTTATTCATAAACTAAAACAATATATACATTTTGTTTTTCTGTCTCGCAGGACTGGCGACGAGAAGCGGTCAGTGGCAACGTTCGTCGCCAAAGGGGGGGGGGGGGGTCTAGAAACGCCCCAAGGTGGGATGGTTCCAGAATGGCGAGGTGTTAACTACCTCGCCTGGTCTACAGGATGTCGTGGGTTCGATCCCGGCTTTTGGACGCCTGTTGTATATGTGGAGTTTGCGCGTCTCTCGCTCGCTCTCTCCCCCCCCCCCCCCCCCCCCCCCCCCCCCGAGATCGCCTGGAATTGTCTCCAGGTCCTCCGGGTTTCCCCTCCACATTTTGAATCAACGTCACGCGCGATTCGAGTATTTGGCCGCTATAAATGTCCACATAAGCAACGTTGTTGAGCCATCGTTCGTGGCCAGGTCGCTTCTGAGAAAAGGAGTTACATCGCTCAGTGGGGCGGCCAGGTGGAAGAACGTGCAAACTCAAAATGCTGTATACAGGTGTCAGGAGTTCGGATCGAACACACGACCTCCTGTATACCAGGCGAGATCGTTAACATCTCGCTAACCGTGGCCCCCCCATACTCTGTTAGTGACTGACAAACCGTTACCACCGAAGCGATGCAAGACAAATAGTTGAAGAGGTGGCAGGAACAAACACAGAAGACGGACACGATTCATTTAATATTGCTGGAACGTTTTTCAATTTGTGCTCCTACGAGTGTTAAATCTTTCGCCCAGAATGTTATTTGCATGTTCTCCCCGTGGTCGCGTGGATTTTTCCTTCTGTTTTTTCCCCTCCATTTAGAAATATGCATTTCAAATACTTTACAACTGGACTAACATCCCATATTTTTCGCCTGTGTGAAAAAAATGTGGTGTCTATAGCCCGTGTTCAGGGACGTAAAAGTCCCGCTTTGAGCCAACGAAGATGGGAAATACACGAATAATATGGTCTATAAAGAGAATTTGTAAAATTATGTTGAAGTTATACAAACAAAATCCTTGTCGTCATTTTCTTACTGAAGCGAAGTTCAATTGGTTAGAACTGAAGCCCGAAGGCCCCCAAAACCCTCCACAGGACTTTGTAGATGAGGGCCCACACGGCCAGGAACCTTTAGTTAATATAATTAGACACCTTCACAGCGAAATCTCTCGGCTATGAAGATCCATCGCTAACATCCCGCTGCAGGGCAGTGCTCTTGAGTGAATGTTGGTGTGCTGTAATACTAAAAAAGGTCTACTGTACCGATTATAAAATGTGATAATAAATTACCAGTGGTGGCGCAACTTGACACCCACAAAACGATGTTAAGAAACTCAATCCCAACACCATATGGTACTTACATGCCATTTAGCCTCATTAGAAACACCGTTACGCAAATGTGAAATATTGCATTATAATAATTAAGTATAAGTTAATTTATAATCCCGAATCCACTGCTGGATAGAGGCCTGCCCATGCCTTAAGGTCATGGGGATTGTTTGACCCTACTTGTGTTTAGTTTGTTGTCCCCCCCCCCCCGCACCTCCAATTAGCACGGTTGGCTACGTATGGTGCGAAAGAAGTTCAACATGAATGCTTCACTCTCGCCAGGGTGGGTTGGTGCGGCAGCAGCACGGGGCCAGCTCCGATCTCACTCGCCACCCTGGCTCAATCCACGGCCAGAACTCAAATTCAGGTCACCAGGTTCATGGGGCATTACGTCCACGGCTTGCCATTGCTTCTGTCTGCGCTTTCCAGCACAAAGTGGTGCACTACTACCGTCTACGGAAGACTTCAAAATGTCAAATTGTCCGAAGGTACCCATAGCACAAATGTAATTGGGGGGGGGGGGGGGTAATATCAAGGCCGTAGCCATGGACTCAACATTGTGGGGGACCAAATCTTCCAGGGAGTTTGGGGGTAAGTCTCCCCCAGAAAAAAATCTAAATTTGAAAATATTTTTTCCTGCCTAAAATATAAAAAAAATTTCACTAACACATAGGATGGAGTTTTTATTGATTTTTTACAATCATGTCTAATAGTGTATTTGATTACATTGCTCTGTTTTTACTTTTTTACCTTTTCTTGTTTCATTGTATGTAATGGCAGAGATTAGGGATTAATAAAGTACAACCATAACCACAATCATATAAACAGACATCCATTTTATAGCAATATTTTTTGGGGGGGGGACATTTTGAGCATATTCGAATATTGGGAGGGGATGTGTCGTCCGCCCCCCCCCCCCAATATATTATAATTACGGCTTTGGGGTAGATACCTTCAAAAATATCCAAAACTTTTGTTTTACCAAAACACGTGAAAGCAACATGGACTTGCAGCACACTCGCTTAAATGTGCGTCACTGTCGATCCACTGCTGATTGAAGGCCTCCCCGTGACTCTTGGTCATGGGGGGTCCTGTTTGACCAAACGCAAGCACGTGCACCTCCGATTAGCACGGTCGGCTACGTACGATTCCACTGGCTGTACACACATTGCTGGTCGGTGTCAAATAGCGAGGGGGGGGGGGGATGGGGGCAGAACCGCTTCAGACACTCGCCACCTACGTTATTAGCCACAGCAAAGCCAACTCAATGGTTTTGTAGCACAGCGTGCTGAGCACCGCCCAACTTAAAGCATTTAAACTACGACCGTTAAAATGCTTGCGGGGTCGGTGGAGGCAAGAGAGGTTTGATAATCCACACCACCACCGGCACTGCGCGACGTTAAAAATGCACCACGTGCACGCGAAGTGCCCAAATACCTCGCGTGGTCTATTTTGACTGCTCACGAAAACCCCGCGGAGGAGCCGCCACTTGCTCGGCACAGGCGCAGCGCCTCTCACTCGATACCTTCGCTGGCGCTGGGGCAGGACACGAACCCGACACCTCTGTACGCGAACATGCCTCGAACCTCGGCTAAATATAAAAACGCACATCTCCCCCCGCCCCACCACCACCCTTGCACACAAATACTTACAATCCTCAAAGGGAGCTCCAACATTAAAAAAAGGTGGTCACATTCAGCAATTCGATGGGCATGCGTCACAGGTTGAAGCCGCGCATCCCAAAAAATATCTTCATTAGGTGTGACAAATACTTTTTCAACCCCCCCCCCGCCCCGTTTGCCTGGGTCACGCTCTAATAAAAACAAAGTGTGGCAAGGCAAAGTTTTTGCAATTTATCAACAATGGACCGTCCAGAGAAAATGTCACATTCCTATGGCAGGGTCTCGTCAACCACACGAATCCGACACTCTGGTCTCAGCTTGCAACGGGACAAACTCCTGTCAGAACGGAGACGCACATCGTTCTTGGGCCACTCCAACCCAGGTCCGGACCTCGGCTCTCTGGTTCAAGCCTGGGAAGCCCTGCTGCACTTAGCAGAGTTCTGGCATCGGGTCCCCCCCCCACCCACTTTAACCGTCTAGACAAATCTGTATTATTGCGTATTTGCTCCCAATGTTCTATTTGTACCACTTAAAAGTTCCCCCCCCCCCCCACATTAGAAAAGTTTGTAGCAAGCAGCAAGACTTACCTGGGGCACGCCAATCCGTGCACGCGTTCTTGCACGAATGTAATTGGGACGCGTCCTTCTAACCACTTAAAAATCGCGTTACAAACCTGTTGGGGGGGGTCTTCATTCACATTCCCCCTCCCACCTCATGGTAATCGTAGATCTGGCGAAACTACACGGGGCCAGATTGGAAGGCAGCCATGCATGCTTCCAACAATTGTCCAGGCTCTGTAGTCGTTTTAGACAGCCAATAGAAAATAGCGATTGTGGGCGCAACCATAACCACCAACGCAGGGCAAGGAGGCAGCACCATGCTTCCGATGGGCGTCTATACCTTTGCTGTACCCGATCCTGGCTAGTCAGGGTTGAGACCAATACCCATGGGAAAGTGAATTGAATAAAATGTTGACGCTCCATACCCTCCCCTGCATCCAGCGTTGGTTTATTTTAGGAATGCGGAGTCACCACTCAGATCAAGTAGGCCATCTGCATGGCCAATCCAGTAAAAAAAAAAAGTTTAAATATGGCAATATAAAATTGGCTCAAATGGCCATCACCAGGGAAAGATAATTTTTAAAAAATTTGCACGACCAATTGGTGGATTGACCAAAAACAATGGCAACGTGCCATTGTACCACCAGTCGGGCTTAGCATTCCTGCTTTCAGGACGCATGATGCCTGATCATCTGAAGAGCATTATGTAGCACTAGCCTTTTGCCCGTCCAAGGACGGGTGTATTGCAGTATATCTGAAACTTGCAAGCGAAAAGCAGACCGCCACGTGATATTCATTGCATTAATGCGTGCGCAACTTATAAGGGCGCGGTGACACTTATTTCATTTTAAGTTTATAATCCCTTGTTCATCACGACGTCCTTTTTACTTTGACGTCTCAACAGCGTTACGGAGATCACGTGACGCGAGGGTTCCGTCTTTGTAGCGAGGGTTGAGTTGGCGCCGAAGAGGGAGGCGCCTTGGCACCCCCCCCCCACATGTGGTGACGTCACCCACTAATGAATATTAATGGCGGGTGCCCATTTGGAGGGCGTCACCTGCTCATGATTATTAATGAGGGGGCTGATCGACATGCAGTGACGTCACGCGCAGGACAGACATTCTTGGCTCGGTAGTAAATCGGATTCCTCCAATATAAAATATTCTAATTCCGGATGGTGGTGGTGCAAAGGCCACCCATAAAAAAAGGAGAGATTGGTTTTTAATTAATAATATTCCAGGTTGTGCAGTCTTCTGGGTGAAGCCCAAAAAGAAATCACCGTACCACAGACGTGAAAACCGTTTCTTTAATAAGAGCTTTGTACAGTTGACGAATGAAGGACAGACATGGGGTGTCAATTTCACATTGTGCGCAACGCCGCTTTGCTTCTTTCGGACCAACGGGAGGGGAGCACAGGGAGTCTGTAGATTCCAGTAGTCACAAAAATCATGGCAGGACAAAAATTATAAATAAACCGTATACAAAGCACAAATAAATACTCTGGCTCAAGTCAATGGCGAATTAATATTTGCAAAAAGCAAAATCCACCCGTTTATCAAATTCCCACAAACTTTTCAGTGATTCACAGAACATATTACGGCGACAAGCCACGTTTGTATGTACAGCAGAAAATGAAATTTGTTTTTGCACAAGCAAAGCACCAAGTCGCTTATTTTTTCACTTTCGTACAAAAAAGTTATCGTCCCTTGTCCAACCCTATTACTTCCACCATGCATACCACTGCTCAAAGAGACCTCGATTTACCACCACCAGAGGTTTAAGATGGGCCACGTGGCGTCAGGTTGAGGCTACAAGCTGCATGTAGCCATCACCGTCTTGCAGATCCGCGCAGGTGGATTAATTTAGGCATGCGAAGCACAGTGGCTTTGCAGACATACACAGCTAAAAAAAAATAATCTTACAATTATCCAGTGGGTAGACCAGCACTTTAACGTTAATAACCTATTTCTGCAGAGGCTGTAAAAACCTCTAGGTAGAACGACCAAGCCTCCCAACCTGAAGTTGCAAGCCACCACTGACTGCAATTATGATGGGGTTGACCGCTGCAATGCACACTGGGGTGTACCAGCCCAAGGCATTTGCAGCTTGTGTGTACAAAACAATGTAATTGAGAAAGGTTCTCCAGTTGTAAGATTGTTGTTGCATTGGCATCAGGAGGGGAGGGTGCCACAGGGACATGCTAGCACCAGAAAAACTACGTGCATTTGAGAGCAAAAGACAAGCCATTCAATTTATAGCTGAAAGGGAGGTACAAGAATTCAGGAGGCTACTGCAAGACAAGTCTCATAATACTGTACCAAACGAGAATCAACCTCAACGTAAGGGGGGGGGGGGGGGGGAGAAATTGTATTTTTGTAAACTAGCAATAGAAGATGCATTGGCATGCTTTTAGTTCGTGATCTTAGGTTGCACCACATGGATTTCATGTCAAATGCACCCCCACAGGCTGGGAAGCGTCCAGAATGGATTAAAAAGAGGCTCACAGGCATACTGAGTGAAACGGACAGTGCCAAAAACGCACAAGGTTCAATCCAATAAAAGCCACAAAACACGCAGGAGCCACAAGGCCCAAGTGAAAACCTATGCAGGAGTTAAATTCTCTAGCATGGGATGTGCCGACCGAGTTTGCTGTAGATTGGAATTGCCCTCTTCGTGTGGGATTGGTTCGGTGGCATTTAAAGTTTTTCCCCTTCCTCGTGGACATGGCTCAGAACTCGTGCACCTTGCATCCCAGCCCCTAGAAAGGCACCTGACGGAGCCTTCAAATTGCACAATTTGTTTACCTGGAAAGAAAAAAAACAATTGGGGGAAAGAGGCAGATTTGTTTTTGTTGCATGAAATTAGTTTACACAGCGTCAATGTTCCAGCCAGCTGGGTATATATATATAATTGGTAGACAAATTGTGCAGGACATTAGCAAATGGAGAAGATTTACCCGAATCCAAGTTCCTTTTTCAACCAAGTTATTCAACAAAAAAGGGACAAACTTCCTTCCTGCTAGTGCAACATAAAAAAAACATGAACACAAACACCAGTGCTTTGTTGTTAAGGTTGGAGGTGTATGGGGGGGGGGGGGGGGGTTGAATCGATACGGCCATCTCACTGCCGACAGCCACAGGAGAACGTGTCGCTCTTCACTCGTCGTCTTCTGTGCTCACCGCCATCAGCTGGGAATAGAGCAGCGACAATCAGGGCAGCTGCAACGCACACACAAAAGCAACGGTTGTGGTTCACTGCATTTTTGGGAGCCAATGCCCTGAAAACTCAAATTACGAAGACAACCTGCAATTCAATTCCCGTTTTCCCCCGCAAACGTTTGGATGGCTATTACGTAATTTCGGTCGGCGTCTGTTCTGGCGAGTTCGGCTCCGACAGCGGGGGGGGGAGCCTCACCGGCGGGTAGACGTGGCCCACAGAGGGGCCGAGCGACGCGTTGTGGTCCAGCGCAAAGTCGTCGTCCTCGGTCGTCTTTCGATACACGGGGTTGTCAAAGTTCATGCTCTTGGTGTTTCTCAACTTCCAGTTCCGCCAAAGGTAGAAGCCAGCCACACACACCATGGCCAAGATCGCTGCAGTTGGGGCGGGGGGGGGGGGGGGCGTGTACTGCATTAGGGTAGCACCGGACTTTAACCAGACTTGCTGTTAGACACCGGAGGATGGATGGAACAGAACCCAACAAGGGGTGGACGGAAGAATCTCATGTACATGAATGTCACAGCAGGGTGAGAAGGCATCAAGATAAAGAATGTGGGGGGGGGGGGGGGTCAAGAAGTCTGCACGATAAAAATTAGTCAAATAAGCTGCTGCTATATGTCCATGACCACATCAACCCTGGTGTCCGATTTCAGAAGTAAAAGCCAGGTTTGGGAAGCAACTGTTGGGCCATGCACGTGGGAGGTGTTGGTCAAGAAGAGATCCAAAAGGGGGGCAGTGTAATGGAGTTTGTGAAATGCATTTGTGGAGCGCATTAAAATTTACCACCGGGTACTCCAAGTTTCTTCACAATATGCCAAATCATACCAAATGTTGCAGCAGGATGCTTATTTCACTGCTCAAGAATAGCAGGAGGGGAGGTACTCTTGGGGGAGGGAGACTGGGGCAGCCAGCCACTCACCCAACGGGATGAGAACCCCGACCACCGTGGAGGCAGAGCCACCCTCCGATTCCGCGTTGGTGGCAATTGACGGAGCTTCCGTCGACAGCCAGGCCTCCAGCCAGCCCCTGTTGCCTGTAGCTTACAAAGATTAAAATATTCGTAATCAGTGGCAGGGTACAAGGAGATGTTTTAAACAAAGCAACAAGCGTCATCTCGGTTATGTAATTTTTTTAAACCAGCCTATGCACCTTAGCCAAAGCAACCGTGGCAATGTGCAGGCCTCAAAATCATGAGAAAAGGCGAGAGATGGGACAAGTTGAATTATGAGTGGAGTCCGAGATGGCAGTGGAAGCATGGGCAAGATGGCAAGTGGAGCCCCCCCCCCCTCCTCATTTGACAAGCACCGAGGAAATAAAAAGTTGGCCTTCCGCAGAAGCAGGGAAAGTTGCCCGACACACAATGCGTGCATCGACTGCACCAACGTTTTCAACAGCATTTTACCCCCAAGCTGGAAAACCACTGGTTCAGTTTTGAACCACCTGGGCACGAGTCAAACTGATGTCAAAAGGTTTCTCGGTTGAAAGTGACGACTGGCAGGAGATGCTTTAGTGAAAAACAATATACAAAATTTCAGGCAATGTGGTGGTGCATGTGCAAGCACCAGTCATTTCTGCATGTGAAAACAAAGCTGCAATGTGGTTTCTTTTATAGTTCTAGGACTGCCCCACAAGCCAAAAGTTCAGGCAACAAAATACATTTCTTAGCTCCACGGGCTTCGACCCAGGGGATGGCAAGTCCTCGCTCATTACCCACCAACTGCTTCAGTGGCATTTCCCTTTTTTTGAAGCAATTGAAGCAGAATTTTTTCCCACCAGTTGCCACCGGCACTTTAAATATCTGGCTCTTGGCCAAGGGCGACTTAAACTGGCAAGGGTTTCAAACTGGCTGTTTTATTGCAGGCAGCATTGATGACAAGCAGTGGCTTTGTGGGGGGGGGGGGGGGGGGCAAGGCATAGCTCACTGGGCACTTTGGTGCACCATGATCAAACGGGCACACTTACAAGTCAAGTTTTAGTAACGAGATTTTGAAGTGGCACGCAAGATCTATTTTCACTTGTTATGCGCACACCATTATAGTAATAGCGCTACAGCGTGTTGGCCATTGTGTGTAAGGAACGTGCTGCGAGCTCATTGTCAGGCAGCAGAGTTCAGTAGTGGTGTCCGAGGTGCAGTAGTAAAACTGCAAGCAGCAGCTCCACAAGCCATTTTGAAACATAGTCCGCGTGAACCTTGGCCTCGTTTAAAGTTTCATATACGCCGTTTTTCAAGACTAACCCTCCCCCCTCCACATGAGGGGTAGTTGTATTTGGAATCTTAGGATACATGCAAACTCCAAATACAGGCGTCAAGGTCATGATCGAATTCACAACCTCCTGTATAAACAGGCGAGGCGAAGTCAACACCTTCAAATGACAATGCCATTAACTGGTTGGGGCGGGGGGGGGGGGGGGTTTACACATGCAATCATAAAGCACCACAACTCAAAACGGTCAATTATTTAAAAAAGCAAGGCATGCTCACGCAGGGTGGGGATGATGGGGGCAGTTGTTTCCATGGTGGGCATGGCAGCCGTACTACCTGGGCCAACTGCGGCACCTGGGATTGGCGCATTCTCGGCGTTGATGGTCGGTCGCGCTGCAGTGGACACCACGCCGACGGCTGTGTTATTGGGGGTGGGGAGGCAGAACAAAAATTTTAAGGCGTCAGCATGAGGATTATCGTGGGGTGGGTCCGTTATAAAAAAACAACTATTTGGTGTACGTGTACAGCCCTTGGTCAAGCCAGTTGCCAGATGAGGGCCTCCATATACGATGTCCATTATTGAGTTTTATCTTTAAAGCCACTGGTTAGGGTGGGAGCACAAGTAAAACGGATTGAGCCATTGGCAGTCAGCGTCCCAGAGCCCCTCAGGCAATACGCAACCTGTTTAAGAGCCTTGGCCATCCCCGAGTCAAGCAATACCCAGGATTAAAAACCTGCTTGGCTTCCAACAAACCGGGTGTAGGTGAATTGGTCCATGGGACCAGATGGCTGAGGATTACCAAATTAAAATATTTGCACAAGACTAGCATCATTCATAAATAGAGTTTCTCCATACTGCTTTCTTGCAAGTGTTTTTACTTTCTTCAAAAACAGAAATACAAGAGAACGTCTGCCGGGGCACGAATGTAGCAAGGGGGTACCGGCGCTGCAGGTTTTTCCGTCGGGGTTGAGATGGGAATTGTCGGCACAAGCGCAGGAGAAGAGCGGCAATGCAGCATCGACCTTTGGTGCCGGCAGACAGAGATACTCGCAGCCACTGCCCTCGCACCGATTGGGGCCTATAGGTGTACAAGCGGGGTGTGTAGGGGTGGTTTTGAAAACATTGAGTTACAAAGTGTATAATTTCAGACCAGCAGTTCCTTATTATAAAGCAACTTCCAATATTGAAAGCTGTCCAATGAATGTACTGCATGACATTTGTAAACCAACATTACTATACCATGCAACACAATGTCGCACATTTGAACATGCAGGTAGTGCGCCCTGCCCAAAACAGCACATCGTGTAAAATCTTAATGTACACAGGTGTGCTCACCTGATGCAAAGTACATGTATACCATTATGTGTGGCACAAACCTCAAATCAAGACAGACCAAACTTCAAACGTTGCCAATATACTAACAGCCAGTCTTTTTTTTACGGTAAAGTCATGTAGGTGAAAAAATTAAATAAATCACGACGTTTCAGGCGCAACAAGCGTCCTTCAGGTGGGGATAACTTAGCAAATAAAATTTATTTTAAATGTTTTACCTACATGACTTACCGAAAAAAAACCAAGTAGTATGAATCCTTGCAGTCAAGAATGCTTCAAATCTAGAGCCAGTCTAACTTTGAGAGGCATGTCTGCTGGAGACACTGCATTTGAACAATCTTGCAGCAGATAGCAGCCCAATGTGTCCTTCTGTAGTAGCACAGTGCACAACGATACCACTGAAGATAGAGGGATGGATCATGGCATAGACGTCTGATCTTTTAAATGCTGCGCATCTGAAAAAAAAATACTCGTGATGGAAATTTACAGAAATTACCTGGGGCAGCTGGGCTGAAGATGCTGTGAACTGCTGCCCTCTTAATCTACTGTGGACGTTACTGTAATCTAGGGAGTTCCCCCCCTCCACCACAACTGTTAGAGGGCACAACTAAAAACGTAATGCGCATCATAACTGGAACTTGAAGCTGTTCGAATAAACGATGTAAACACGATTTTTGTCCCTGGGTAGTGTTATTTTTAATTGTTTATGCCTAAGTATAGAAAATGGCTATTTCATTAGACCTCCTTTGCCAGTACCAAAATGTAGGAGGGGTTTTCCCCTTTTTTCTGGCAACAACAAACCTTTTTACAAGGATTCATATCTGCATTAACCACAATACCTGCAGTCAAAATGCAAACAAAAAACATACCATGATAATATATGCATTGTCCTTGAAACTGAAAGCCATCCCTTGGTGTGGACCAATCAGTTTCAAGGACAATGCATATATTATCATAGTATGTTTTTTGTTTGCATTTTGATTGCAGGTTGTGGTTAATGCAGACATGAATACTTGAAAAAAGGTTTCAGTTTTGTTGCCAGAAAGGGGAAAAACCCTGTTTTTATAAAATGGCTATTAATCCAAACGTTGCTTTTGTGACCAGGATTGACCGAAAGACAACAGCACACCTTCTCATTAAAAAAAATAGGTAAATGTCAAAATATCACTGTCCTGGTCAAAAGCAAAGTTGTGGGGAATAGGCATTTTTTGTACTTTGGAGGGAGGCATAAGCAATTAGAAAACACTTGCTACCTAGGGACGAAAAAAAAAGTTGATGCGATATCAGCAGGAAAGTGTAAATTGCAAATTAGGAGTTCACTTTTTTTGGTAATGAAAATTACCCAAACAAGATCTCAGGTGTTCCTTACTGCCAACTCAAAGTCCTGACTCCATGGCAGAAATCGGGTCGTCATCATTACAATCTCGACCAGATCTGGAAAAGCTGGCAAACAGTGGACTAATGCACAAAAATAAAAACGTCCCATTCCAAGACTCAAACATCAAAATCGTACCTCTTGGCTTCGGTTCCACCAGCATCCCTTTCAGGGGCAACGTCACAGCGCATCAGAACACTAGGCCGATGCAGAACATCTGGTCTAAAATGGTAAAACTAAAAAGCCATGGTAGTGCAACGGTGGCCATGCAACCTGAACTATGGACCAACCATAAACTAAACGACTGTAGTGTGCGCTCCTTTAGGGAGAAAAGCTAAATTACCCTCATTGTAGCTAGCAAACATTGGCATTTAGCTTCCAAACATATTGCTGCGACACAAATATGATGGTGTATTATGGTCACTGGCAAATTGCATACCACTGCAGGAGCTGGGGAAGCATTGGTTTAGACAAGCAAGTCAACACTTATAATCAAAATTTTTAATTGGACCTCAAGAATTTTATACGCGCTTTAACTGGTAGCACTGGCAGCTGCTCAATATTACGAAACAAGCCGTTGGCACTGGCCTGTTCGCCAGCTGTTTCTTAGCACTCAACGGTGGCGTTAGACGCAAGCAACATTAGCAGTAATCGACCGTGCTTAAAAAACTAACATATTGCGGTTCTGTTCAACAGGGAGCAGGCGATGGATGGGAAAGCGCGTGCAATTTAATACCGTAAACATTTTCCTCCCAAATTTTCCAAATGTGGCAGTGATAGCACAAGATGAAGTCTGCAGCGCAATTAGAGGACAAGCCTGTGGATCCAGATAGAGCTATCCCTGATATATGCCTTCAAAACATGCTGATCCATGCACTAGCAGAGCAGCACGTTCCCATACGCCCTGCTTCGTGTGCAATGTTCACCAGTGATCAATAGTTTAATTCGGCGCCAACCATGTAGAACCCAATTGAACCCATTAAATAGCAACTTCTCTAGATCTTTTGCAAGGCAGCACAAGCATTTAATATTTTTGGAAATTCGCATGGAAGCAATGCTACAGAAATCACAGCAGAGTCCTTCAAGTGACCTCGCAGTAAGGGGGAAAGCACTTTGCACACCCACCCTGCAAAAGCATGCATTTCAACCAACGTCTCACCTCACGAGGAAATTAAAGCCAACGTTAAGCGTATCACCAAATGTAAGTGTTTGTTTGATGCACTCATTGGCGATTCGGCAGATAACTTATTTCGTTTGAGAGCCTTGTTTAAAAATAATTCACAAGGCAGCCAAAGACCAGGATTTGAATCCATGGAACTCTGTAGTGCCAACCCACTGGTTGAACCGAGCTACCCTTCATCTGGAACACTATAACGAGCCAGTCCAAATCAGTGTTCAATAATGTAAAAAAAAAATCGCAGTTAAAAAAGCTGGGGTGGCAGCACAGCACACGTGACGCGAGTGGTGGGGCGTGTGGCTACCGCTGGGCTGCGCGAGGGGGTGCACCACCACGATGTCCTGGGGGCTGTGAAGGTTTTCAGCAAGCACACGCCGTCCACTGCCTGTGAACTTGTTCATGCTGAATATGGCCTCCTCTTCACCATCCGTCCAGTACACCTTGTCCTGGACGTACAGAGCAGCGGAGCAGACGGGTGGGGCGACGGCATCGTGGCTCCAGGTTGCCTTTGGTAAGCAATTACCCTCGCGTTCACTCCGTGAACAGAACAAATTAAACTACTTGTTCCAATCTAGCAGAGGGGCCCCCACCCATGGTAGGTGCAGATTAAAAAGGGGTGTGATGGTAAAATTGAAAACGCCCATTCTTACCGTCACAGGTATAATGCGGCACAATTGTAAAATTGCTCAAAGCATAGCAGGCACTCTAAAGGAGTGCCACAAATTTGCAATTATAAAAAACATGAATCATGAAAGTGTACATCTGTAAAGTGGTGCATTTCATCCATTAGATTTCCATCAATGCACCACTGTATGCAAAGCAGGCTATAAAGAACCAGAGGGGGTAAAGGCCCGTTTCTGCACATCTATGTACGGATTCAACCATGCGGTGAGCGAGTGAGGGGGGCGGCAGAGATGGCTCTCACCTCGAATACAGCAATCGAGAACGGGTGCAGGAGATCACTGTAGGATGCGAGCACTGTAACACGGTCCTGCCCAGACATGTCGACGCTGGAGAGCGTGTGCAGCTTCGAGTCCACCCAGTAGAGACGGCGGTTTGCCAAGTCTGCACAAAAAGGCAGGAGTAATATTCAAGCGAACGGTTGTCCCCCCCCACCCCCCTTTAGGTAATGTTAAATTACCCTCACAGTTAAAGGTTTGACCAAGGCAAATGTTTGTTGTTACATGGCAAATCTAATTATAGCCAGTTACCCAGGGAGTTTTTGCAGAAACCCAATATAGAGGAACAGAATGCATCAAGGGAGGTGCAGAAATGCGTTTAAATTTAATTACTTTAGTCATCTCAAAAGCAGCTCGTTAAAAAGACACGTTCCAAAAACACGCACACCTTAGAACTGCAAGAAAAAGGGGGCAAAGATCTCCTCCCTCGCAAACAAAAAACACTTCAAGGCCTAAAACATCAACCCTCTGCGAGTGGACACGAGTGCACGGGCGAGAGAGTGCGCAAAGTGTACCGAGAGCGATGCCGTTTGGCCACTGGATGTCGTGGGTGACGATCGCGTGCCGGTTGGCACCATTCATTCCGGCCTTCTCAATCTTTGCCGGCTCGCCCCAGTCAGACCAGTAAAGCCATCTAAAAATGGGAGGAGGAGGCATTAAAATCAACCGTGTTAAACAGGGTGCTGAATTTGATGCATCCAGGCAGCTAATGGGTCCGTGTCATGATCATCACCTGGGCTCCAATGCAGGCGTTAACCAAAAGCGGCGTTTCTCGTGGAGAGTTGGAGCAAACCACTTGGGGTATTATAATTACACATTTTACTTAAAATCCATAAATTCAGATGAACATTTTCACATGCTGTACGCTACAAGGCAGAGATGGTAAATGTTTTAAACATGGCGAAGGCCCAATAAAAAAACAGCTTCAAAAGTTAATCTGCCATGGTGGTTCCAAAGAAAAACAATGCGTGGAAATTCAATTTCTAATGGTCACAAAATTACTGAAACGCCACAGGTAAAAAAGGGGCAAAATAGCAGGAATAAAATGCCACATATGCAAACAAGTGGGAGGCAGTAAGGGAGGGCCCTGACCCAGCGATGGGGTCCACCACGATAGCACGCGGCTCCTGCAGGCCGCTGTCAAACAACTTGCGCCGCCGCCCGTCCATCGTGGCCACCGACAAGGTCTTGAAGCCAGAGTCGGACCAGTAGAGGGTGTTGTGGATCCAGTCCACCGCCAATCCCTCCACAAAGCTCAAGCCTTGCTCAATCACCACCGCGTGGTTCTTCGAGTCACTGGCCTTGCCGATCACAGCGCTGCACGCGGGCAAAACGAGAATTGAGGTCATGCGAGCAATGATTGTACGAAAATTACGGTCCATAAATTGCTGGCATAAATGCCAAAAAAGTGCCGTTCTTATATAGAGGAGTATTTTGCAGATTGCCCCCTACTGGCAAGTTATACCAATGTAATTGATGGCACACATTGCCCATTTTAACTCGTCACTTCACAGAAGAGGGACGAGCAAGTATTTTCGTTAACACACTTGCATTATTAAACATGTATGGCATGGGGTTTAAACAGCCAAACTCCACAAGTGGCAATTGCGCCACCACTTGGCCAGGTCACCGAGCCGATATTATCAAGGGCAGGGGGGGGTTGCCATTCTGAACGGCAGGGCAAATGACAGGAGATGCTCAGTCTCGGCAATGATAAAGACTTCGTCTGGCACACCGGTCGACTCGAATTCAAAACAAACGCCTTTGACTTAAAGGGGAAGTGTCGAGTTACTGCTTGGGTCAGGGCAGAGAATGTTAGCAACCACATCAACTGGGAGAGTTGACACAGCAGGTGTGAGGATAGTGATGCAGTCCGTGCATGGAACTGAAGAATTGGGTAACCAGAGTTCCAGCTAACACTGGCACATCACAATTGATCAGCAGCCTGCCACTTCACCTAACGTGGCTAAATATTGACAAGCCTCATTAGGTGTCGGGGTCTTGCACCGCCAGTGGGTTTACAGCAAAACAATTCCCCATATAGCCTTACTGTTGGGGCAAGTGCTGTTAAAAGAGCATTCATGAAGGCCAGCATGGCACGCAAGGAGATGGGGTGGCGTACAACATTGTGTGGCCATCTTCATGTCCAGTCCTCCCATTTAAAACAAAAATCGCACCAGGAACTCATTTCTGCCATTGGAAACCTCATTTGCCAGTAAAAATATGACAATTGTTTTTTTTTACCCTTTTATCTGGCAACAAAACTGACACCTTTTTTACAAGGAGTCATGTTTACATTGACCACAATACCTGCGGTCGGAACGCAAACAAAAAACTCTGATAATGTATGCACAATTGTTTGCGTTCCGACCGCAGGTATTGTGGTCAATGTAAACATGACTCCTTGTAAAAAAAGTGTCAGTTTTGCTTCCAGATAAAAGGGTAAAAAACCAATTAAACTCATTTCTGGCTGAGTCGACCAAGGACCGGTTAATCCTCAACTGGGTTGTTGTGGTCATGAGCAGGAAGTGAACTCTGGTTTGCCAGGTTCGTAGCGTGCCAACCACTCCAAGCAGGGCAGAAAAAACAATGTTTGGCCACTGCCGCTGGTACCCACTAGCAATTTGTGGCAGAAAAAGATCAAAGAACCACGGAGCAATTCCGTAACATCCCAGGGACCACAACAGCAGTGTGCACACACACCTGAGGATGAGCTTCTGGTGTTGGTCAGACCACAGGATGGTGTTGTTGGAGACGTGCACGCTCAGTGCCACCGCGTTGCGCGTGCGTGGCACCACCTGCGAGTACTCGTTGCGTGCCGTGTCCAGCTTGCGGATGTCGTGGCGGTTCGTGAAGATCACGTACGGTTCCTTGCCTGTGGAGCGCATGCACGTGAGGAACACCAGGTCATCTTAAAAATGGACTTGTGGATTCACAAGATTGTTTTAAATGCAGAAACGTTCGAGTAGAAATGGGCAAGATGCGTCATTGTGATATGTCGAGATTGGACAAAGCCCAAAAATGATCTTCGGCGTGAATATTGAGAAGGGTGAATTGTCACGCAGATGAGGACACTGGGACACAACAAGACCAACATGTTACACTAACCCCCCCCCCCCCTCTCTCCTTACCAGTCATTCCAGCACATCCCAAAGAAAAATACTCCTCATAGCCTTACCACACTTTTGGGGCAAGTACTGTTATAGCATGTGCCTATGAAGGCCAGCATGGTACATGGTAGGTAGGTAGCACTGCATCCAACCACTTGTTTCCTTCGTGGCAATGTTTATATATTGCACCAGGTACACATTTCAGGCCAAGTCGATCTAGGGGAGGTTTAGGACCAGTCCAGATAGTCACTGGTGTTGGCCACGAGTGAGAATCAAAAACGATCGCTGGGTTCGTAGTGCAATGTGTTACCCTACCGCTTCTAAATAAATCACCTGCCTACACAGCTATAAGTCGGAGCAATAAGTTAAGGTGCAGCAATCTCCCGCACCGAGAGCCTTGCAGACGCCAGTCTTGGGGTCCAGGAGGTAGCCGTTGAGACACTCGCACTTGAAGCCTCCCTTGAGGTTCACGCACACCTGGCTGCACGTGCCCACACGCTGGCACTCGTCCACGTCTTGAGCGCCAGCAGCCATAGGTGGGGGTGGGCACAGGCACGTGAACACGGGATGCATGCCAATTACAAAGGATTCCAATGCGCTGCTCATCTAAAAAGCAGGAAAGATGATGCAAAAGAGACCAAAACTACGGGGGAAAAAGGTCATTTTAAAAAAAGGTTGCGAATTCATGGCAAATGTGAATAGCATTAGATTCTGAATGTCTGATTAAAAAGGCCAAGTGTTGCATAGTCTTGGAGCTGTACTGGCAAAAGTCCAATCACCCCAAGTATGGAGCCTTAACCTCAGAAGATCAAGGGGCCTCATTTGGTATATAAAATTAATCAGCTTCTGATTATCTTCCCCACACCATCATAGAATTCAAATGTTAAGGACATTATGGAAACCCAGAAAATAAGCACCATAACCACTCGTATAAAAATGTTATCCAAAACACATCTGCAAAAACACCAATTGCATACTGGTGGGGGTTACACATGAGTGTTCATTGCGGTAGCCACAATGGATTCGTGCAAGGCCGCCTGAAGGCCAGGCTTCAATAAAATATAGCCAAGCGATGGAAAGCCATGCAAACCTCTGATACCACGATTGAACAAGTCCTTAAACATCAAGGACTGATAAATACCACATGAAAAAAAAATCAATTTGGCAGCATGGACAGATATCAAAATAAGATTTCAATCACTTTAGTAAAAAGTTGCACTTAAGCATTTCAGTAGAGACTACACAATACAGACCTACGCAGACTTTCCCATCCACGAGCTGAAATCCCGGCAGACACTGGCACTCGTAGCTAATCTTGAGATCCTGGCAGATCGAAGCGCATCCTCCATTGTCGTGCAGGCATTCGTTCACCCCTGCATAGGGGGAAGAACAGACAAAACTGATTGGGCACAAAATAATTTACTGAAGTCTACAGGATGGGAGGCAGGCGCAGCACTGAAATTGTTCACTTTGAACTACGAACCAGCCAAGCACAAACACAATTCCTGGCCACAGTTGACAGTGGGGCAAGCTGTTTGCTATCAAAGCAGCAGGATAATAGCACCCACGACCCATCCCCCCCAAGTCACATTTGGCTACATATCCTCTCCACCCCCTTTACACTTTGTTTGAGCAGATATTTTTGCTATTCCAGTGGCACCGCAGTACATGGGCGGTGAGAAACAAGGGACCAGCACTCACCACATTGGCTGCTGGGTTCATCAGAGCCATCCCTGCAGTGGCTGGTGCCGTCGCACACCTTGGCGGGGTCGATGCACTCCTTGCTGCCGCACACGAACTGGTCCGGTTCACAGTCTTCAGCTGTGGCCATGGGGTGGGGTAAAAACGGTGTTTAGGAGATCCACACAAAAACGAGCACAATGCATAGGCAGATAGCACCATGAGGTGTCCACTGTACATTGGTTTTTGATGTTCCTTGATCTCGTACCAATATGCTCCATTAGTGTACATTTTTCCGATACCAATCTCTTTTGTCAAGACACTTACCGCTTCCTTCCATTTCTCCCCCCTCCTGAACACGCTTTAACATTTCCCATTGGCAAATCATGCAAAAATAGCAAGTAAAACACTGCAAAGCTATATATATTTGAAACTACCATTGCAGAAGGCCACAAAGTACCCAGTCAACTTTGAGAGTCAACATTTCTAACAGCAACGTAGATGTGCTTGTTTTTAAAGAGGGGAAAAAAAAAAACCACACACACCGATGCAATTCCCAGAGGGCATGAGCTTGAAGCCCGGCTGACAGGCACACTCGTAGCCAATCAGGAGGTCCCGACAAATCGAGGTACATCCACCATTTTTCACCAAACACTCGTTAACACCTGGAGCCACACGGGGGGGGGGGGGGGGGGAGGGGGTGGGAAGCAGATGAACAGTCAAGGCCAGCGATAATGTCACTTTCGACGAGGGTCAGTCCATGCAACGCGGTTTTATTTTATGGTCAGAAGCATTTAATTCAAAAGCCTGGGCGAATGTGAAAACGTTGGTCGAGCGGCAGGTTGCGTACAGGTGGAGGTCCCCCAATGTGGGATCTTTGCCCCTCTTGCAAGATGTGCATGCCAGGTGGCAAAAATATCCCCACAGGATCTGTAGGTGGCCCTTTCACAAGCAGTTCCATAATTGCAGGGCTGCACCATTGCCAGACAGTATCTCACCTTACATAGCCCCCCCCCACCACCACCACACACACACACACGGGTAAGTGAACTAACCGCACTTCTCGCTGTGTTCGTCAGAGCCATCCCTGCAGTGAGCGACACCGTCGCACACGTTGCTCGCGGCGATGCAGTCCTTGGTGCCGCACTGGAACTGGCCCGGTTCACAAGAGTCCGTCGCTAAAAAGGGAGAGAAGGGTTTGAAGGCGCAAAAAAAAAAATAACTCTGTGTATACCACACGTAAACTTGTTGGCAGCATGCCTTTCATAGCAAGCACGTAGGTCGGACGAGCACGGCACACAAGGAGGCACGTATGTACAAGCACCGTGCTGGGTAGAGTTTTGTCTGCACAGTGCTAGCTACACTACTGCGCGCATTCAACCTCTGAAAAAGGCAGAGCTGACCCTCCCGAAAAGAGCATGACATTTTAACACATCGGTGCAAATCGACAACCTGGACTCAAATTTTGGACCACCAGAAATGTAACAGAGGGTGTGTGGAAAAGCCATCCGGTCAAGGGAGCCTCACCGTTGGGCGGGCATCGAGCCTCGTCGCTCCCGTCAGGGCAGTCCAGTCGCTCGTCGCACAAGTTAAACGCAGGGACGCACACAGAGCCGTTGACGCAGGGAAACTCGCCCGGGCGGCACGTCCCCATCGACGCCTGGTATTCTGGGAGATACGGGAGGGTCAGGGAAAGGTCACCGATAGTCATCATTACCCAGAGATTAGGAGGATTCGCCGACGGAGAGCCGTGTGCAAGAGTCGGGCTCCGTGGCACGTGCAAAGACTCACGGCAGCCGTGCTCATCGCTGCCGTCCTTGCAGTCTTCTGCACCGTCACACTTCCAGCTGCCGTGCACGCACTCCCCGCTGCCGCAGCGGTAGCCGTTCGCCTCGCAGTCCGGCGTCGCCATCGACTCTGGGTTGCCCGACACCTTATCACACAGCTGCGCCCACTCGTCAGAGCCATCCTGTCCGCACAGCAGCATTGGTCACCATTTGGCGCTAGTGGCACGTGACAAACGGTCAGACAGCGACCGGAGACATCTCCACGTGCGGGACCGATGTCGCCGGTTGCCATCTATTAGGTAGTGCAAAATCTGCCACCAATAAAGATCACTTACCGTCACCAGGTGATGGAACAAGGCACGTGCAGAAGTTAAACCGTACAAATACCTTACTTCACCTTCTCACAGCTTTCAGAAGAGACCTGGCCAGAAAATGATAGCTTGGCGAAGGTGGCTTAGTGTGTGGGGGAATTTATAGCAGGCCAAAATACTCCCAAGCATTGGCTGGGCGGTCCGCACCTGGCAGTCGGGATCTTTGTCACAAACCCAGCGGCGGGGCATGCACTGCTGGAGGTCGGCACAGGCAAACTCGTGAGGGCCGCACGTGAGCTGGGGGCAGCCCAGCTCGTCAGAGCCGTCGCCACAGTCGTCATCGCGGTCACAGCGCAAGCGGCCTGCCAGGCACTTGTGGTTGGCGCAGGTGAACTCGTCCGGCAAGCATGTCACGTTGCCTGCACGCGCATGGTCAGGAGTGGGGGGGGGGGGGGGGGAAACGAGTGAGCCCGCAGGAAAGGCACGTGCCATCTTTTGTGTTCGCAGCAATTAGCCCCTGTATTACTAGTTCGCATAGTCTCCGCGGTTGTAGATGTTTTTTGTGGGTCCTCCAGTTTTTCCCACCACACATTTTACTGCATGTGGGTGGTGAAACATTTCTAGACGAGCTACTTTTGTCGAGTTATCATGTGGCCAGGTAATTTCTGAAAGAGCTATGGTCTTTACCCGATACGGTTTGTTTATAGTTTAGCTGGTAAGAGAGCAGCACCAATTAGGGCAACTGTAACGCACAAGTTAGAAACTGGAGGCCGTGGCATATTAAAAACCGGTAGGGGTTGCGTGCGATCTATTTTTTGTACAATTGATGGAATTCCATGCCATTATTGTAATCACTACAGCTTCCCAAAGGGTTGGGCCTAAGGGGGGTGGAGTCGAGCGATTTTTGCAGACAGTAAGTTCATGAGCCACGAAATCATTCCACCCACTCCAGACTAAATTGCGTTATTGTGTCCAGCAAGACACGTGCAGGAGCTAAATGCCAACCATCTGGTTTCTGGACTTTTGGAAAAGGACCATTATGTCTGCAGCGCATAGCTGGCTGCTAATGAACGTCCATTTCACTAAAATGGACGCACGAGTATTGTTTAAAAGAGAGGCAACACGAAAACAGGGGTGGCCGCTGGGAGGATTCTACAGAACTTTCCTCGGGGTCGTCTCTTGCCGCCATTATATTTAACGCTTTTTATTCATGTGCATTTGATTTATGACCGTCAAACACATCGTTCGCTAGTTACACAATATTTCTTAAGGACCCTGTATTTGCTCTGCAATTGAAGTTGTCCGTTTGTATTCAAGCGGCAAAATAGCGGCTGGGTAACAAGAGCATTTGTAGCAAAATCAAACATGAACCCTGTTGCCTCCCACCCAGTGATTGCACGAATCACATGTATTCAAGCTTGTTGTGTGCATGTGGAGCTTTGTTTATTCCATTAGCCGAGAGGCATTTTGCATAACATTTTCTTTTGTCTTTGTCATTCAACCATGGAGAAATGCCTCCCCCCCCCCACTGTGCGAGTTATGGGGGGGGGGGGGGGGGTGTTTGGCAATCCTTCATCACGCTGGTCAGTATAGATTGGCAAAAGGCAGGGCCACAAAATCAGCCGAAGTGCACAAGTAATTTTATCCATGGCCGGGAATCACGCTGGTATCTGGATTACACGCTGCATGTAACCAAACACATCACCACTGCACTAATTTGGACACGTTATAAAATGGGGGGGGTTTTCTTATCGCGCCATTCCAAACGTGGCATTAGCATGAGAATAGCCCTTAAGCCGATGTGCAAAATCATTACTTGGCTACAAAATTATTTTAATCGTTGTAACTGAAATAAGCATATTTGCTGAACACTTTATTTACCTCAATAAAAACGCACGCACAATTTCTGCAATCAAAATGCACAACCCACAAAGGCCGTTTGAGTTAAAATTTTTACACGGATGATACCGTTTAAACAGTGGCCCAGCTATTTTATAAGTGGAGACGAGTGGCACGCGAGGACAGCCGCGATATTGCAGACAAGTACAGGTACCCAAGGAATATTGCACAACTAGTTAAATGGTAAAACACGTACAAGGCGGTGACGTTCGAAACCCCGTGACTGACGGACTTAAAAGCGGGTACGTTAGTCATGGCACCGTTGCCTACTCTGTTTACACAACGTGGTGACACCGGCTCCGACAGACCTACGGCGGTTTCACTTCATTTGATTCCGTGCTGCACTTCCATGCTCTCATTTTCACCCCATAGTGGTCAGCGTGAAGCAGTGGCCAAGTAACCCCCGCCCCTCCCCTGCACGGTGTGGCGAGGCACCTCGCCCAGCTGGTTTGCCACAAGCGTGGAGAAGGCGACACTGCCAACCACGGCTACATTTAAAAAGGCAACCGAACAGAGGAGTTCCGTAACACAACATCTACTGCACAAAAGGCGCTCCCCCCCTCTGGTGGATGTACTCCAAGCACATTAACACTCAGCTGCCACCACAATCCATCAACCACCACCAGCAGTTTCGAGTGCCATGGATCCCCATAGCACACTTTACACTGCTGAATGAAACGTATAATCTGCGTACAGTGACGGCGTACAAGTGTTTTGTGCAATTTTTAAAAATGCACCTCTTTCTAGCTTTCAATCCATTTTTCTGCCCCCCCCCCCACGCAAATGTCTACATTTCTGATCCGCCCTACAAAAAGCTAAAACGTAACTGTGGGGGTCCCCCTGAAGGCGACCTACTCCAGAGGATGATTTTTTTTTTAAATGGCATCTTCATAGTGTTGACCCTGCGATATTCCAAGGGCCTAGCTAAAACCAGGTGGTGACCCAGCAAGGGAGCTACGCCAGTGGGCCAGTCCAGCACTCAGCAAGTGGTGCGAGTGTCTGGGGCCAAGGGTGCTCAAACCCCTGAGATCAAAAAGAACAGTCCGGTAAAGCATGTAGGGGAGCGATTTTGGCTTGCGTCTTCAGTTATAAACAACTTCAGGTGCAATCCTACAGCGCCCCCAACTGCAAGGGGATTGTATTAAAAATGGTTGGCTTGGCCAACAAGTCTTGGTGCAAAATTAAGAGGAGAACCATCAACATCCTAGGCTTAAAAATCGTTTGCCAGCCAAGGATGGGGTAAAATCTCGCCAGTCTTCTGTAGGCAAGAAATTTGGCGACTAAGTAAACGTTAGGCTCACAACAAGTGACGAATATATGCATATCATATGGAAATTGCGTTGAGACCAAGGGACGAAAGAGATTTACAAACATGACAAATGAGTTCACGATTAGCGAATCATTACATGCTGTAGCATGAACATTCAACTTGACTGCCATTAATGACAAACACACTGCCAAAGAGTCTCCTTGCTGCACGTCTTGGTACCAAATATGGGATGGTCAATTAAATTGCGATGAGCCAAGGGAATAAAAATAACCCCAAATGCCAAAACCCTGACCCCCCATCTACAACTCCTCCTCTTGATGCAAAAGTGCCAAGTACTCAAGGCTGTCAAAAACCACCAATCACCCTTTTACATATTAGGAAGTTGCCCCCTCCTGTTTTCCATATGCCAAAACTCCTTCCCCTAGTCATCTATCCTCTAACTCGCCATCCAGGCCAAACTCCCTCTAGTCTGCCTCCATGCTAAATATGAACGACTTTTATAAAAGTGATACAAATGTAAAGTTGATCAATTGCCCAATATATCTGCATAGACCTATACAAAAGCTCTCCCATATAGCTTTTAGACTGCTGGGGCAAGTGCTACGAGTGAACACTTATGAAGGCCAGTAACATCACTAAGGTGGGTGGTTGCAGAGTCTTCCCTAGTGGTGATGTTTATGTACCACACCAGTTAATCATTTTAGGCGAAGCCGACCTAGGAGAGGCTCAGGGCCAGTTCAGACAAGTCAAATTGTTGGTGGTTGCGAGCGAGAAACATCGTTAGCGCAGCGAGCTAACCTCCCCCCACCAACCTACCCATTATTTATCCACCTATTGCCTAAAAAACACCCACGGGGTTTCTGTACAGGGTTTTGGGGGGCGATGTAGCAGCACTTCCATGGACGCTGCACAAGTGGCACACGGCACCGTTGCGGTGTCATTAACCCCCCCCCCCCCCACCACCGCAGTCCCACTCACCGCAGTCCAGCTCGTCGGCACCGTTCTTGCAGTCGGTTTCGTGGTCACATCGCCACGCCTGGGGTATGCACTGGGCCACGATGCCCCCGCAGCTGAAGTCAGTGGTGAGGCATGTCCGGTGGCCTACAACATGCACACCCGCCTGTTAGTTAGCTTCACAGACGAGGTAGGTGGAGGGGGGGGTAGAATCTGTTAAGAGGCAAGCATGGCACACCACGAGGAAGTGCCAGAAAGCATGGCCTTCATCTCCTAAGTGGACAAGCGTGTGTAATGAAATCTTTTTACAGAATGCACCAGGATCACACTTAAGGACGATGCAATCTTGGGCAGACCCAGGACAGGTTCAGGGGGGGGGGGGGGGGGGGGTTTGCACAAAGTGGAAATAAAACGGAGACCATCCAGCGGTGCATAGCTCATGGTTGTACACGGCGTCCATAAAGCTGTTCATTGGCGAATTAGAAATCAGTTTAAGATCCAAAGCACACGTGGGTAGTGGCGTAAACAACATTGCTCTACATGCACCACTTGTAGAAGTTTCCGGTTCAACTCCAGTGGCCTTCAATTAATACTGCAGGTGCGATAACATTTGCACGCCATCTGCCTCGACGAACGTTAGCCATCACTTCACCCACAAAGGAGTAGGCCATCGTGTGCCAGCATTACAACTAATTACCAAATTGGGATCAATAGCAATCACCCCTTACTGGCAGACCATTGTGCTCGGTCACGCCTGCCAAGGCGGTAATCCTGGTCCATCGCGTTAGCGAGCACTAGGTTAATAAAAAAAAAAGACTGCAATGGAGATGGATTGGGAGTCCCAAATGTTTGCCAAAATCTTTGAGTGCCATTGCCTCTTGAATATCTCCAAGCGTTAGAGCTTGACAGCCATTTCACACAGCCACCAGTTACACTACAGTTCGTAACCTTGCGTCAAGTTCATTCGTTAAAATGGCAGATACCCTCATGGACCGCGGATTTTTGAGTGGCGGGACAAAGTGTAGAAGGAAGCAACGCCATTTTTTATGCATTTAACATTCAAATGCAAATAGAACACCAGAATCCTACCACTTGTAGGCTGCAAGAAACTTAAAACCCAGTGCAGCACATGAAAGACTTGCACACGCAACATCCAGATTCATACCTACTATAATCACCCAGGAATGTCCGGCCTTAAGGCTTGTGACGTCACTCTAGACCACCCCCGCCATTAATATTTATGAGCAGGTGATGTCACTCAATATGGAGTACCCCCTTCACTAATAATCATGAGCAAGTGCCGTCATGCCAAATCGAACAGGCTCCCTCAATCATTATAAGGTCACGTCCCCCAAATGGACCCCCCCCCCCCACCATTCATAATAATTAGCAGCCAACGTCACTCCACATGGGAGGCTCGAGGAGCCTCCTCCCCAGTGTTAACTCACAACCCTCACTACAAAGGCAGAACCCTCACGTCACGCAATCTCTATCGCTATTGAGGCACGTAAAAAGGACGTCATGATGCACAAGGTATGAACCTTTAAATAAAATAGGCTCATCACCGTGCCCTTAAAAAATTGCACATGAATGAATGCCATTCATATCACGTCGCGTGTGCTTTTCACTTGCAAGTTTCAGATTTACTGCAATAAGCCCGTCCTTGGACGGGCAAAATGCTAGTTTGGAACATTTGGGGAATGTTTCACTAAAGTGGCAACCCCTTAGTGGAGGACAAACAGCTGACGTCAAGAGCACAGAACCCCAAGATTTAAAAAGCCAGTTTTGACCACTTGCTAATGAAATCATGGTCACTAGTAACTGCCCAAAAAAAACTGCTACGTGAACATTTGGTTATGCCACTTGGGCAGATCACCAGCTATGTACAATTTAAATGTTGGCATCGTCTGCATGGAGATAAAAAATGGGATGTAAACCGATTATTTTGGATGTGGCTGCTATAATTTTCCACAAGCCACTTAGTCGAGCTATATAGCTCAGTGGTCCTTACCTGGTTAAAGAGTTTAATTTCATTTGTACATGTGCTTTTCTTACCTTTCCTAAACTTTGCACTCCCATCGTGTTTTTGTATTCTTTGTGGATGCAGCTTTGGACCCACCCCCTACTGGACATGTGAACGATCTTCATAGCTCATTGGATTCTTCCAGTATAAACGGAATTTTCCAATTCCCGAGTAGCACCAAGGTCTTTACTGGCGCGATGCTCTTAGAGGTGGTACACTAGCTGAGATTCCAGTGCGTGGAAAATAAGTGGGGACGGGGGGGAAAAAAGCAAGCTTCACAGAAAATCAACCCTCTAAAAGAGGAGTCATTTTTACATTATGAGACCTCCTTTGCCAGTAACAAGATGTAGTAATAGGTTTTACCCTTTTAACTGGCACAAAAACTGACACCTTCATTTAAAAGGCATCATCTTCTTTGGTTCTTTCGGTAAAGTCGCGTAGAATGAGAATAAAATAATAAAATAACACAATAAAATTCTCACGACGTTTCGGCCACAACGCAAGCGGCCGTCTTCAGGTGAAAGGTACAGACCTGTCGGGACAACAGCTTCAATGAACGATGTTAAGATTTGTAGCGACTTAAGCTGGTTGGTAGAAGTGAGGCACCTTGACAAAGGGGTTTACAGATCAATAGCCGAGGGATTAGCTTGTGACTGGTCACAGAAATGGCTATGTTAAAGTTAAAACCTACACATCCAGAGGCAATTAGTAATTTAGCATTGAAACAGCTAAGGGATTAGCTTGTGACTGCTATTTCAATGCTAAATTACTAGTTGCCTCTGTGGATGTGTAGGTTGACTTTAACAGCCATTTCCGTGACCAGTCACAAGCTAATCCCTCAGCTATTGACATGTAAACCCCTTTGTCAAGGTGCCTCACTTCTCCCAACCAGCTTAAAAGTCCCTACGAATCTTAACATCGTTCATTGAAGCTCTGTCGTCCCGACAAGTCTACCTTTCACCTGAAGACGGCCGCTTGCGTTGTGGCCAAAACGTGAGAATTTTAGTGTTATTTTATTCTCATTCTACGTGACTTTACCGAAAGAACCAAAGAAGATGAATCCTTGCAGTCACGAAAGCTTCAAATCGAAATTCAAGGCATCATGTTTGCAATAACCACAAACACAAGCAGTCAAAATGCAAACAAGAGACAACTGATAATAATATGCACCATCCTTGAATTTGATTGGTCCACACCCAAGACAGCTTTTCTTAGAGCCTAGCCTCCACATGGTGTTGGACCAGATGACGCCAAAAGGCGTACAACTCAAAAACAGCGCACTCGGAGTATTGGAGGGCTCGGGTGAGCATTTACATTATGGAGACCTTTGCCAGTAATAAAGGTGTCAGTTTGTGCCAGTTAAAATGGTAAAACCTATTACTATATCTTGTTACTGGCAAAGGAGGTCTCAATGTAAAGGCTTACCGAGCTATCAGTACTCTGATAGTGCGCCGTTTGAGTTGTACACCTTTTGGCATCTTCTGGTCCAACACCATGTGGAGGCTAGGCTCTAAGAAAAGCTGGTCTCGGGTGTGGACCAATCAAATTCAAGGACAGTGCATATTATTAGAGTTCTCTTTTGTTTGCATTTTGACTGCTTGTGTGGTGGTTATTGCAAACATGCCTTGAATAAAGGTGTCAGTTTTTGTGCCAGTTAAAAGGGTAAAACCTATTCCTATAAAAGGAGTCACTTTCCACGGAATTTGGCCATTACAGTAAATCTTGTACGGGGAAGAATTTGGCACTTCATGTTGAGCACTCTGAATTGACACACATGGAATTGACAAGTCTAATATTCCAATGTACTAGCCACTCCTGGGCCAATCTGCACGATTATCCAGGTATCAGAAAAGCCACACTTGTGAAAGTTACATTGGTTGGGCAGAAATTTATTAAAAGCTACTTATTCGTATGGGGGTCCTCAACAATTCTGTGCCTTGTGCAACCACAAACATGGGGGGGGGGGGGGGGGGTGGAAAGTAAAACATTACAAAGCACTTAACCAGATGACATTGCTTTCCTCTGCAGCACAAAATAAAAAAATCCCCCCCCTCTCTACGACATTTTATACACCAACTACACCCATCCACCGACCTAGGAATAATGTGAAAACTAAAATACTCATACATCCAGGAGAGGCTCTCATTATCTTCTACCTGCATGTGGGGGGCCTTTACACCAGCAGTGGAACAAGCATGAACAAAACAAAGCCGTCACAAGTACAATCACGTGTTTTGTTTGCCCGAGCTGCTGCATGCCCTTCACCACAACTCTCGATAAATCCAGTTATCCATTACATAAACACTATGCACCAAGCCCACCGATAACAATTTCGGATTGCAGCAGCACAAGAGCTTTCGCCGATTGCGAGAGCGCATAGCTCCGGTTGATCGATGGGCCACTTACTGCAATGCTCCTGCGATTCGTCCGAACGATCCACGCAGTCCACGTCTCCGTCGCACAGCCATCGCAGAGGGATGCAGTCGCCGTTGCCGCAGACAAAGTCGCGCTCAGAGCAGGTGTGCTTCGCTGCAAAGAGTAGAACACACACACGACAGGTTTCCCACCTAGCCAGTATGTTTAGGGTTAAGGGTATCAAAATGGAAAACAAAGACTTGACCAAATTTCGATTTAAAGCTTTCGTGATTGCAAGGATTCATCTTCTTTGGTTCTTTCGGTAAAGTCATGTAGAATCTGCAAGCCATCACTCCAGTCATGAAGGATTCTCTTGTGGAGCCACTCAAAACCATCACCTTACCCTACATTGCAGGGGTCACTAAAAAGATCTCCAAAATCCTGAATTCACAGTACATAAAATCCGTGATCTGGTTCCATCTGTAAAAGATGCTGTTCCAGACACAGTACTCGGGCGTTTACAAATTAAAGTGCCTCTGTGGTAGTAGCTACATTGGAGAAACCAAACGACATATCTGACCGCATCCGCGAACATAAAGCAGACTTGAAACCACGGTAGAACGAACTCCTCTGCCGTGGCAGATCACTGTTATAATTCAGTGGGCTCACATGACATTGACTTCTCCAAGATAGAGGTTCTTTGCAAACCAACTGGCTACCATGAAAGATTCGTTCATGAGGCCATTCACATACAAGCACAGACAATTTAAACCGAGAAGATGGATTCTGGCTTAGTAACCATTGGAAAGATGTTTTAAACCATTTCGGTTCTTAATCAATTGTATTTTACGAGGACCTTCAGACCGCAGCTCTTTCGCTGGCACCGACTCTTAATACCTCTCACCACGGCTAATGGTATGGTTTATAACATGGAGTATAACAGCGCCTCGCAGCTGTTTCTCCCCTCCTTCCTCCTCCGCTCCAACCATTGACTCGTCCGTCTGAAGGGGGCTCGTAGCTGTCCGTGGTGCTGAAGTGAAAGGTAAGAATCCACCCGTTTTTTCACCATATAACATTGTGATATAACATTGAGGTTGTTTATATTTAAGTTTGTATTGCTTTACTATGGTATTCATTATATAGTGTAGTGTATACCCAGTTAATAGCTCAGCTTCTTGAAGAATATATTGAGTACATTAATTATATTGATGTAATTTAGAATTAGGTTTTTCACATCGCTTAACTGTATGACAGTTGAGTTGTTGCAGCTCCCATTGGCGTCCATGTACGAGGTGCCTCTGTGAATGTGTAGGCTTTGACTTTAACATAGCCATTTCCGTGACCAGTCACAAGCTAATCCCTCAGCTATTTGATATGCAAACCCCCTTTGTCAAGGTGCCTCACTTCTCCCAACCAGCTTAAAGTCGCTACGAATCTTAACAGCATTCATTGAAGCTCCGTCGTCCCGACAGGTCTGTACCTTTCACCTGAAGACGGCCGCTTGTGTTGTGGTCGAAACGTCGTGAGAATTTCATTGTGTTATTTTATTCTCATTCTACGTGACTTTACCGAAAGAACCAAAGAAAAAGACTTGACCAGTTAAGGTCCAGAGCTACCATAGCTCTCTTAGAAGAGACTCTCCACAAATGATAAACACCGAACTGCCTTACAATGAAAACTTAGTGTAAAATGTGTAGATTTTAAAAAGTGGGACAAACAGGAGGACCCAGGAGAAGCCACACAACCACCAGGGAAAAAAGCAAACTTCAAATACACAGGTGTTAGGGTTGGCATTCAAACACATGTCCTCCTGTATACCAGGTAAGGTGGTTAACAGTGATAGCTATGTAGCAAGTAGCTGTGAAGGTCGGCACAAGGCAGTAGGGTGGCCCACACAATGCCCGGCTATCATCGTTTTCAGTACTCGTGTTTATGCATCGCAACAAATTTAACCCACAATGGACCGAGAATTGGTTATAATACTTGCCGAGGGAAACGAACCCTGGTCACCAGGATACTAGCAGTGCATGTAAACCACTACGTGTCAGTTCACCACATGCCCACAAACTTAGTTCCCATAGTCAAGCCTTTTGCTAAAGACCATAGGGGAAAAGTACACTGTCAGTCGACCACATCAATTAGCCACCCACTCAAGTGCAGCATTCGTGCGCATCTAAAAATTTTATTGTGGATGTTGACAAATCCGACTCGGTGGCCTTTAAGTCCCAGCGAGTTCCAAGGCGACCAAAGTGTTTCATTAGGAAAGTTAAATGGGTTGTAAATTTCCAAGAAACACAGCACCGTTCACAGCCGGCAGAGCACTGCAAAAATCGTTCGTCAGAAATCCAGAACACCAACTTCTAACCCCCGTGATGCCCCCCCCCCCCCCTTTCCCTCAGTGGCCTACAACTCAAGCCCAAAACAAATCCCAACAAACGCAGTGGCAGGGTCACATGGCACCACAATTAACCATTAAACAAGGTAAGAGCAACCAAGCTATTAAATACCATTTCCACTCGACAAGAAAATGTAACTAATGAGTGGTGGTAATGTAGTTGAAGTTGGCTAATTAGACAATGTGCTGCATCTTGCATAATGTAGATTTCTCATTTAGGGTCACTTGGTCTAGCCAACCAGAGGATTTAGGCCACCGTTTGAGGTTGTGCAAATTTTTTTTCACCTAGTGCTACAAGTGCAGCCAAAAAGCGGTGAAGTGTAAAAGGTTTAGGTGCAGTGCATGTGTAGTGGGTTAAATTCAGACGAATCTTGGAGGCAACACTATTTATTAGTCACACAACGGGTAACACTTTACATTAAACAGGATAACGCCATAGGGTGGTAGCCACCATTCCTAACCACACGGGGATACTACATCACTGGACTAGGACGGTTCAACACGCTGCCTGGTCCACCAGTGGAGACGGAGGATCGTGGACGGCAGCTTCATTCCCAGAGTTGACCCAGCAGAACAGCCCGGCTCTGCCCACACACCGCTTATGACCACTCCAGCGTGGCTAGCTCTGCCCCAGGCCACACCCCCCTTCCCGATCCTTCGGGAAGGCCTGAGCCCCTAACCACGTGACCCCCCTGGGGACCCTGCCCCCCCCCCCTCGTCTAGTCACGTGTCCCGTTGGGTTCACGTAATGTGTCACGGCCTGACACGACCCGTGACACCGGCCTACAGCCCCCATTCAGAGCTAACAGTAGAGTACTTCTACTGCACATGTATAAAGCCAGTTACCACCGTGGCCTTCCAGTGTGCTGAAGTCCAATCTTACAGAATTATCTCAAGGCCATATTTCAGACTGTAAAACGTTGGTCTCGTCAAATCTTACTGTGGGTGGGGAGTAACAAGTAATCGAGGATTTACATCCACCTCAGGTCCTTTATTAAAAAAAAATCTTGGATAAAAAAAATTATTGGCGTGTATTTCATCGCAGCAGTTAAAACTAGGTACAAATTGGACAACGAGTTCCATTGTCATGTTACACTGATGGAACCTTAAAAGCCTGTGCTTGTGGAACTGGAGCTGATCTAATAAAATGTAACTATCACCCAAAGGTTGTGATTTTAGCAAGTTTTAAAGTGATTATACCGGGCACTGTAAAAACAAAAACCCATGCCAGGCATTAATTGCCTTTAAAAAAAAGAGGGGGCAAAGAAAAAAAACGTTCATTGTTGGGGTTTTTTTGGTTGTGGTTGTAACTGCAATATAAAAAAGGCCGGCACCAACGCGTTAATTTTATCAATTTTCCACACCGCAGGTGGAACGAACTGGGGCCCTGTGGAGGAGGACGTAACCATGGCAACCACGACCGAGTGCGGCCTGCGCCCACCTCGCCCTGCCCGTGGTCGCGTAGCAGCGACGGGGGGTGGGGGGGGGCTTTATGCGGCACTTTAGACCACGTGGTTATTAGGTGCCACAGATTGCAGTGAGAGGGGGGGGGGGGGATGGTTTAGTGGGAGGCAGCGTGGATGGAACGTACAAAACAAATACTGGGAGAACATTGAAAATGTATTTAAAAAAATATTTCCGATCCTATTATTCACGGCACCAGTTACCCATGGCAGCCGTGGGGTCTGCAATCACGTTGATTACATTTCACCTCTATCATCTGCAGGGGTTCCCCATCATGCAGTGCAGCTTCCCATTCATTTTTTTTTAGCCGACGAATCATGCAGCGGATGAAAAGCATAATTCTCACAACCATTTTTCCCTCGCTTGCGAGTGGAGCAAATTCGCAATCACGGATAAAACGTGATCCATGCTGCAAATGAGTTGCACTGAACAATCAGGCAGATAGATGGGCAACCGTTTATGCAAGCACAATGACTTGACAATGGAGCAAGAGAGACTGACAATCCGCTGTAATAATAAAATAGCTACGTGTAAAAACAAGACTGCCAACAGCTAACCGGTAGTCTAATGCACACGAGGTACCATTAACACTATGGCCTAACAGGGAAGAGAGATTATAGCTGCAATTATGTACAAGATATGCACTGCTTGCTATATCATCTAAAATGTCAAAAGAATGTGCTTGGTTCAGAAGCTAGACCCCATGACCTTAATATTGCAGGTGCAGTGTGCCAACCAGAGACCATCGAAGCATCTGGACAAGTTAGAGCAAAAGATATTAAAGGCGGGAGGGGGGTGGTTTAACTTCTCCCTATTAGCCCCTTGCTGACAACCACCTACCATCTGACACAACAGGAAAACTCAGTACTTTAAGTTCTAAAATTCCTTCATGTTAACCCTCAAGGGAGTTCAGAGTACACGGAAAACTTTTGGATAGCACCCCCCCCCCACCCCGTCCCATATTCATAATTCCACCCTACAAATGACATTTGGCATTCAGGCCAGAGGGCACTTTTTGATAGCAGGGGTTGCTGTAAATTATTGTAAGAGTGGCAGCCGGGTTGCCTACAGTACTTGAAATGCTGACTGGCAGCCTGGAGCATTATCGGTGGGGGCAACGTTGAAATTCAACTTGCACGGCTGTTAGGAATTTAACATCGTACGATCATTGTGCGTGTTTTCATACCAGTCCTCGCAACCCAATGTCCATTTTGGCCAAGGACATTTAGAGGCCGTTTGTACTCTCCACGAAAAATGAAAGGCAAACATGAGCAACCAACGGCATTGTGCCGTGACTATTAACGGTAGGCCTCATTTTTTGCCACTTTCACAGCAGCTACCCTCGTGCAAATTAGGGACAGTGCCAGCTCCGACCAACATGGCCAACCCGACAACAAAATTACAAAAATGAAACGCTGCACGTATTGCATAAAAATGCTAGCAGCTTCATATTAACTCAGCACCCTCGTTATCAGTAAGGTGGGTTGCTGAACAAGCCACCAGGGTGGGTTCATAAAGCAGTGCAACCAACCAGATCAATGCAGGCAAAGTTTAAATGACAGCAGATGCTTGAGTAAAATTTGCAAAAATACCACAACAAAGCATACATTCGAATACGTAAAACAGTTTTCAGCATTGAAAAAAGGCAGGTAAAGAGATTATTTTGTAGACAAGAAATTAATGTAGATTTTTTAAAAATAAGTTTTAAAGACCTCTTGGCTTTACTGCAACTGAACGTCACATCACTTTCATGGTTAAAGACAAACTGCGGCCCTGCTGGGCAAGATATGCCGGAGTAAAGCCCAGTCGCAGAGACTTAAATTCGAAGACTCTTACATTTGCAAGACTTCCTTTTCCATCGACCTGAAAACGTCAACATTTGTCAAGTACCACACAGCATTAACACTAGGGAACAAACATTAAACGGGACTTTTTTGCCAATAAAAAAAAGTTAGGCGTTTACCTCTTTCTGGAAAAAAATGTACAAACACCAAGTAGGTATAGGCATTTATCATTGACATTCCATGTCAGTCAAGGGTAAAGCCTAGTCTTTCATCGCAAGGCAATAACGAATGCTGCACCACTCGTACTAAAATCGCACGTCAGCAAGTCTCACATGGAATAAATCGCTTCAGCGAGTTGACGGCAAATGCAATTGTGGGGACATGCCCAAAAGCTTCCGCACAGACTACTCCACAGCTATGTGGGCAATGCAACAAGGAGACCACAATTCGTTTGCAGCCAGATCTTCCCAATCGTTGGCTCAGACATTTAGAACAAGACTCGGCTGGGTTCGCAGATGCCAGGCTACGCAGGGGAATAAACACAGGTGATGCAAGGTAGGACGGGAGATGCTAATACAGAAATGGATCTAGTCCCTCGCCAACACACTTTAGTCTGGACCCGAAGCCACTTTTGCGGTGCTTGCGTTTCTGCCAGGTAACATTGCATCTTGCCAGAAGCCACAGCCACTCACACATACCATACTGGTTAAACACCATAACACCTTCCAAAGCCTCGAGACCAAGAAGGGGGGGGGGGGGGGGAGTTAATGGGTGAGAGGCATTCGCTGGCAGGGCTATAATAATGCACTGGTTTATTTACGAGCCGTTCCAGTTCAAGGTCGTGTTCTAGGGAGAAACTTTGTTAATCCCCAAACCCCATTCTGGTACACTCCAGGGCATAGGGATTTTAATCCACTGGGTCACCTGTTGTAAAGTGGTTACTTGCACAAGTCCATGCATCCATTGAGTAACCAAAACAAAAATTTGTAAATTTATCAATTTAAACACCAACCTCCCCCTGTTACAGTACATTGCCCTTCGGGCAAGTATGCTGTTCATTCCTACTTAACCAAGCACACTAGTGCAAGTTACACTAAAAAGCTAAGGTAACATAACAAACAAGTAGAGGACATTTGCTGTGGAAACAGATTTTGGGTGCCCAAGGAGGTTCAATCGAGTGACACTTCTGCAGAATTATCAGTAAAATGCACTCTTGCTAGAGTCCCATCAGGCACATCGTGCAGATTCGTGAAATTCCCAAAGCTACCTGGGAACTATGAAGTGGCCAGGTGATGGTGGCACAACAAATTGGTTAAAATTCACGTATGCCCAAAGGTCTCAATGTCCTTGCAAATGCGGGTTGGAAAACTGCATAGTGCAAACTATAATTGGCACCCGATTTTCATTATCAAGCACTTGCCCCTACAGTGCTGGGATTAGAAAGGGGAAACTCGTGTGACCCCAGAAGCTATGCACCACCCAGGACCCATTTCCCAACAATGTAACATTATACAAATACGATCCCATTGTGAAAGTTCTGGATGGATGTTTCTTTCATAATAGAAAAAAAAACTACTTTAAATGTAGGGAGAATAATCAAGCATCAGTAACTCCCCCACAGGATTCGAGTTTGAATCACCCCCAGCACAGGGCGCAGTGTCCAATATCACGACGAACACAATACCTATAAAAGTGTGGCCACTCGGAATTTTGGGCCCGTGGAACCAAAAGATCATACGTAAAACTAAAAAAAAAAGTGCTTCAGGTGCACAAAAGTCAGCTGTAAAATCATGGCCAACCTTTTAATCCATGCCAATGCTCAGATGCCCTCAACACGAGTGCCAGATTTCACCAAAAGGACGGTGGCAGCTCTTGCTGGCACATGTGCTTTGGGCTCAAACATGCAGTCATGCGTCACCAAAACCCAGAATAAACCCTGGCAGTGTGGGGGGGGGGGGGGAGCATGATATCTTTAGCCACATCCAGACAGCCAGCTGACGCCGGGTTGTGGGGTTCATGCATCACTGCCAGGAATAATTAAAGTCTGAACAATCAAATGTTTTTCCATTTAGATTAATGCACATTGCCAACATGTAGCTTGGAAAACTTCCTTATAAAACTCAAAAGGGCATTATTAATTGACCAACTTACTACTAAAAGACATACCCATCCTTTTTACACAGTAAATGGAAAGCTGCATAAACGCATGGGGTTGACCAAGTAGTATTATACACTAGGCCGACTTTGTAATACCATTTTTAAATGTAGTGACATTGCGGATGTCTTTGTAATGCCAGTCCTAGATGGGCACGGCGTATTGACATTGCGGGCACCACTCACATGTGAGTGCAGTACCAGCCCTGGAGGGGCTCGGTGAGCACTGGATGGCACCACTCTGCGTGCAGTGCCAACCCCTACAGGGTAGGGTGTGAGAGTGTCGGCCTCAAAGAATGGGGTTACTATAGGCCGTGGCACTCTGGTTGACAGCAGAGAACACGTGACCGGTAAAGTCTACACAGGGCTCCCCCAAATGGGGGCTAGGGGTGGTCATGTGTCAGGGCCAAGATCCTGCGAGGGTTCTTGGTGGTCGTGGCTAAGGGCAGAGCCAGCTACGCCACAGAGGATAAGCCGGGTCCCAGATAGACCGGCTGCTGTTCATCCTGAAGAATCTACGTTCTACAGAACCTCCAACACGTGGATCTGGACCAAAGCTGTGGTCCAGTCCATTGTAGCTAGTTACTGTGTAATTAGTGCAGTTAGCCTGGTGGTCCACCACCATAGGTTGTTAGTGTTAAGGGGTAGTTACCGTGTGTTGGTGTTAATAAATGTGTTGCCTCCAAAAAGTACATCTGCAACTCAGTTGAATCTACTACAAATGTGCACACCATGAGGCAATTAGATATAAGATGAATACTACTTCGTAGAGGCTCATGGTAGCTTCACCTACAACCAAAATGACCAAACCTAAACTTAGAGTTTATATTTTGATTTAAAGCTTTCGTGACTGCAGTAATTCATATTCTTAGTTTTTTCGGTAAAGTCGCGTTGAAGAGAAACAACAAAATAATAAAATATATATAAAACAATAAAAAATTCACGACGTTTCGACCATAACTCAAACGGTCATCTTCAGGTGTGACCGTTTGAGTTATGGTTGAAACGTCGTGAGATTTTTTTTATTGTTTTATATATATTTTATTATTTTGTTGTTTCTCTTCAACGTGACTTTACCGAAAAAACTAAGAATATGAATTAGAGTTTATAGTTAGGAGGCAAGCACTGTTACACCCAAAAAGGTTGTGCCACTTCGACAAAGGTCTGCCACATAGGCCAACATATTTGGGGGAAGTGCCGTTGCAGAGGAACCTAGAAAAGGCCAGGATGGCACGTAAAAAGGCAGTGTGGCTAGCACCCCAACCATAGTGCTGATGTTAAGCCGTTAAAAGGCCGAGCCGACTTGGGGGAGGACGAGGACAGCTTCAGGATTACTCTGCACTCATGGTATCTGTAGGTGGGCGTAAAGCCACTAGGGTGGTTCGCAAAGCAGTGCAACCAATCAAATGCTTCAATGCAGGCCAAGTTCAGGCCACATCTGATATCCACATCTTGAATTAGCACGGTTGCCCAAGTACGGTGTAAAAGTTCAACATGCATGCATCCCAGCATAGACGTTGGCCACAGGTAGAAATCTAAACGAGCCCAGCAAAAATGTCCTCGTAGTTAGTCACTTTGCATAGCATCCCCCCCACCAACCCCACTCCCCCCTTTGTAGAAGGCCATGTTTCAACCACGCAGCGCAAACTCACGGCAGTTTTCCTCGTCACTGTTGTCTGGGCAGTCGAGGTCACCATCACAGCGCCAGGTGAGAGTCACGCACCGTCCGTTACGGCACTGGAACTGTGTATCCAAGCAAGCAGTCCACTCGCCTGCAACAGAATGGGGGGGGGGGGGGGGGGGGGGAGGAGGAAATTAGGTTTTCCTATGACAAGATGATACTCGTAAGCCGAGTTGTGCAAAGTAATAAAAACTGGCCTAATTTTCGAATCAAGGCTCTAAATAGTAATTTGCCCATGAAATTGGTGCATTTGAAAACTTTTTCCAGAGTAAATGGTGGTCTTTCAACTTCAAGTATTTTCCCGAAGTTAAAAAAAAATCAGGGTTGCGAAACGTCACTTGAATTTTTTTTGGCATAATACATGGCCAATCGTGCTAATCTGTAGGTGGATTACAAATGCAAATGGTCACAATAATATTCATGGCAATGAATTTGTAGGAGAACTTGTTCCTCCGGTACAGATTACTAAAAGAGGTGGAAAACAAATGGCAATCATAGTACATAATTGTATCACATCTTAAAAAATATTGCAGCAACCATAAACAACCACAAAGTGTGCCTGGGGAAGCTTCGCCACCTAAAGCAATGTAATGAAGTAAGCGGTAAAGGGGACCCAGAACACATTTGTCCAAACGGTCGAGAATAAAATTGCACCATTAGACCAGGCAGTGCGTGTGGCCTGCACGCTGAACCTGGGAAACCAGAGCTCCATTGTCCACAATGGCCACCGTCAATGAAGTAGATAGCCAAACCGTTGCAGTGCCCACTCCGCACCGCTCTTCAGCAACCCAAACTGAACAGTGGTCAAGGTCAAATCTGCCATCCAACCCCCAGACTGATTATCACGGTTGGCTACGTATGGGTGGGAAAGAATTTCACACGCACCTCATCTTAAAAATATTTTCTATAGTGCCTTAAGGTGCTTTACACAGAATGAATAGTACATAATGTAAATGGTGGAGAGGTGGTACATGAAAAGAGATGACACGCTATGGGCAAATCGATGCGTGAATTGAAAGCGAAATTGATTAACGAGTGAAAGCGATGTAAGAATGAGGGAAAACGGTGGCAGTTGAGGGGGAGGTGCAGGGCTGGTGGGGTGATGAAGGGAAAATGAGTTGAGCAAAAAAGGTGACTAATATGGATGGGAAATTGTTCCAGTGAAGGGGGGGGGGGGAGAAGGGAAAAGCAAGAGTCGGTCAAGCGTGTGACAAGCTGTATGTATTTCAGCACAAAGTCAGCCCCTTTTTTACAAGATACTCATTGAAAGGAGACGAAGGTCAAGCCCACATGAAAACACATGCAAGTGTTATGGTAAAGTAATCTTTGGTTTCCAACTTTTAGAGCATACCCCTGGGATGGGTCACGTATATCAAAAACCATCCATTCTAAAAATGTAAACGCACAACAATTACGGTATTCCAGGCGAGACACCGTTTTCATAAAGACATGGTCATAGGATAACAGTTGTGATTTTAGCGTCAAATATTCAAATCAATTGTACCTTGGTTTCAGTGAAGTTACGTAGAAAGAAATTAAAAAGAATAATCGGATGAATATCAACTTATAATACCATTTGGCACAAATGATTTGCCTTCAAAATTAGCAATTTGAGGGGGGCAATCCTTCGGGAGGATTGTAGGAATTGGAGAGCATTGTGTATTATTCATAATAGTCGGTCTGCAACCACACCCCTTTAAGAACCTTCAGCAGAAAATAAAGTTCAGAACAAAAATGGTCTTCAAAAAAAATATGTCCACGGTGGAATGCGGTTGAAGCAATTTTACATTTTATTTAGCGTTCCCAGCACCACTTAAATGCCACACCTGTAATAAACTTGTCACAGCAGTGAAAACTGCATTATTTTAACGACTGATCACAGCACAAAGCCAAAAGTAATAAAAGCCTCACAGCAGTACAGAATTTACATTAAATTATAGCCTTCATACGGCAATGCCACTGGACAGAATACTGCATTGTGAATGTTTAATCAAGGGCATAGCAAGCAAAGCTGGGCACTGTCCAATTTACTGACAGTTGTACAATGCTGGTCAGTAGCGACGTAAAAGTCATGGAAGGCAAATGTAATGCAATTTAAAGCCTTGCATCAATCCACTGCTACACGAACATCTCCCCCCCCCCCCCCCGACACCAACATGGCAGAACATCGTTCAAATTGGAAGCGTGATTATCTTCCATGGCACAAGATTGGTGATATGCAACGACTTGAGCCAGTTTGATCTGTATGTTCTAAAGGGGCCATTGCCCAAAATGTGAACCTAATACAGAACACCATTTGTTACGAGCCAGTGTTATTGAAATAGCTGGGGACAATACGGCAGTTCTGTGAAAATAACTCTTGCTCCACGGCTCTGTGAGAGAGTCATGGGGGTTGGTCAGATCACTAAGGGGGTCCCGGCAATCAAAAATAATTTATTTCGAATTTGGTGAACTCAATGTCAAGAGTTGCAATGCACCCAATTACAAGACTTGCCCGTAATTAAAATAATTTATGCTGGAGGCCAACTTGGAGTTAAAGCTTTGTAAACAGATGTCTAGTAGGGGCAGGTAAAAACATTAAATACAAAAGCACAGGAATACCAAAGCACAAGATGAACAAATAAGCCAAAACAAGCCATCCCCATCCTACTAGGTAAAGCCCACCAAGTTATATTAACTTGGGTCAAAAGAGACCTGGCCACAAATGATAGCTCAACGAAGTGGCTTGGGTGGACATTTGCATCAGCTAATAAAAATAAATCTCAATGTGGGTTCTAAAAAAAAAAAGGGAGAAATACCCCCAGGACCCAGGAGAAAGAAAAACCTACACGATCACATGCAAATCCCAATATACAAGAGTCAGGGTTGGGATCAAACACCCGGCCTCGTGCATACCAGGCGAGGAAGCCAACACCAAAGCGGTCCTTAAAAGAGCTGCTTGTGGCTCCGGCACACATTTCCAACCAGTGGGCCACATTGTACCATAATGGCCAGTACAAGCTGTAGGAGGCCCAGCTTGCACCGACCAGTTCAAATACTCAGCCACGACTGGGGGACAAACTCGCCTCCGCTGGGTTCAAACCATTGCGCCAAATTACATGTCTGTGCCACATTGCATAAAAATCCAAACCTTCAATGCAAATCAGTCAACAGGCCTCCACGAATAGTCTAATGGACAGGGATAAATGGATGCATTGTGTAAGAGCGCAAAATCACACGTATTTCTTTTAAAAGACAAACGTTATTCCACGTTAAACGATTTCAAAAACGGCCATAAGCAACAGGCGCAGTGGAAAGTAAAAAGAAACGACCCACTTGACAGCAGGCATGGCCTTAGACCCAGGGCAACAAACAAGCACTCATTCTCCATTAATTTCAAACAGACCACCACCACATCAGTACACGATTAGCACCAAGACAGATGGGTAGCACAGAGGGCTTCACCATTGCAGCGAGTGGTAGCGTAGACGCGAGTGCACTGCATTACCAGTCCAGGGCCTTCCCAGGGCTGATTGCCTCAAATGAGTAACTGGTGTGGTGTGCAAACATTGCCAATGGGGGAGACAAAGGCGGCCAGGCGTGGTGCTGGCCACCCACCCATCGAGTGCCAGCCTTTAAGTAGGTGTACTGTACCAAATCTTACTGTAATGTTTTGCTTTTGCAAAAACACGGGTTAATTTGTCAGTTAAAATTCCATGTATATCTCAGGAGTAACTGACAAATTATACCGTGTTTTGCAAAAGCAAAACATTAACAAGATTTGGTACAGTACACACAATTCAAAAACTAGTATCTTGCACTAAAGACGAATTACCTAAATTATCAACAGAAGGTGTATATCAGATTAATTGTTTATGTGGCAGATGCTAAATTGGACAGACAGGACGTAACATCAGCATAAGACTAAAGATAAAAGAAATATTAAATTCTCAAACAACTGTCGGCAGTGGCAGAACATGCTTGTAAACAAGGACACTCAATTGATTTTGATAACGTTGAAGAGTTGTGTTAGACTAATTATTACTGGTCAAGACCAATTAGAGAAACCATTGAAATTGAGAGATATAACTTTAAACGCTCTGACAGCTACAGGCTTAGTGCGGCTTGGAAGCGTATTATTAAATACACATTACAATTCCTTATGAGGAAACACTAATTAAGGGATTACTAACGTAGCATATCACAATAACACACATTCCAACTAATTACTAATCTACAACTCATTACTATCATAACTCTTGACTGATTACCAATCGATTATATAATTACAATAACCCACCTCAAATCACTGCACCTGAAACGAGTTAAATGACGACGTCACCCTGCTGCTCTATTTAAGACCGGGAGCAAGCGAGGGCTTTACCATTCAGCGAATTGCCCGATGAAGCTGGATGTAATTACCAGCGAAACGTCGTACTCAAATTTTAAATGATGTTGGTGGGCTAAAGTAGTGAACCATGTCCTTTGTAAACGTGACATGTTTTACTGCTTGGCCGTGTTGGGTGGTGGAGGGTTACGACACATTATGAATAACGCGATTTAAGTAGGTGCTTGATAACAGCACTTGCCTTAAAAGTCTGTTAAAAGCTACGGGGAAGATCTTTGTCCTTAGTCACACTACTTCAGTCATGTTGCAGCCAAACCAACCTCATGTCCCAACATGAACCCTAAAAATGGGGCCCATAGAGACCCTGCCATATGACACGGGGGGGGGGGGGGGGGGGTTTCCTCATTGCCCTGCAACGTGGATGTCACTCAATCTCTGGGCAATCCACCAATGCCCCCGTCAGACTCGATGCCAGCCACGAAGTCCAGGTTTGGATAGATGGCAGAGGTCATCTGGGGGAGCTGCAAATTAAGCGTGGCAAAAGTTGTAAAAGACGATACAATAAGCAGTGGGCAATAGATTACAGTAAAACACTTTGTCCCTGGGTAGCAAGTTATTTTTTGTTAATTGCGATGCCTCAAAAGTAAAGAAAATGGCTATCATTCCCGACAAACTTTTCTTTTGTGAGCAGGACAGCAATTTTTAAATTTACGTCTTTTCAATGGAGAACGGGTAAATTTGTCTTTTCATTCACATAGTAAAAA